GAAAAAATGAAAAAATCTGAACCAATAGAAATGTGGTGTCATTTACAATCTTGAAGTACTGTCCTACTACATGTACTTACTATACAGTGCATTCCGGAGAGAGAAACTCGGTCGGAGCAACTGTTCAAAAATAATCCTCCCAATTGTGGCGAGGTAGAGTCTCCGTACTTGATTGGCCAATTCTCGAATTGTATTAATAGAAAACGTATTTGTCTCTGATTGGCTCATCCTATATCAAACCTACCATCGGGACAGATGTATGGTGACTCAGGCCGTCATCATTCATCAATGTGATACGCAATAAATTTTATTTAAATTTGTTGGCATGATATATCACTAAGCATACAAAATTCAAATACACATGCAGAGTTGCACACACCGAGTTTCTCCGCAAGCTCTGTAATACGGCTAGCTGAGAAAAACAGACATATTGTCTGAAAAGTGCGAAACTGACGCTGACTAATGGACTCTGTCAAGTGAGCGCACTTTGCAAAGTGTTGTCACCCGTACTTAAAGGGGTATGTCCTAATATGTGCGCTTCGGTGTCTGACCAATCAGCGGCCATCTCCTCGTAGCTTGCCAGGAGCTTGCCAGTAGGGTAGGGGAAATACTCCACACCACTCATCCTAATTCACTCTTCGTTTCTTCGTGTCGTGCGTCTTGCCCTCCTGGACACCTCGCTCAACTCGGTTGTTACCCTCGGACTCGTTGTCCCACCTTCCTCTAAGTGCTTGGGCCTACTTTGCCCCTTCTTGACAGGTTATGAGCCCTCACAAAGGCTGAAAAACGGAAATTAGCATTATAACTCTCAGCCAGATGCTGGACCAAGGTAAGCCTCTGTGAATCTATTTCCAGACGCATGAAATATACGGCATATTAATTTATAAGGTAAACCATTTCCTATAAAACTAATGGCGATGCGTCTCGGTGAATCCTCTGCTGCGTTCGGAGAAACATGGGCGAGACGTGTTGTTGACTAACATCCTCTGTCGGTGTTGGAAGGCCAACCATGCATCTGTGAAATATAAAGGCTACAAGAATCGTCAAACCCACACACCCACAGTTGACACACAGTCCAGATCACCAATCTATTTATTCCCCACGTGATTCACTAACGTAACGAGGCAATTTATGGACACCTTTTTTGTCGAAGATAGCTCGAAAATATGTTGCAAATGTTGCAAATTTTATCTATTTTTTGATCATTTTATATCCCCATAAAGCTTAGGTTGTGATTGATCGAACTTGTTTCATCAAGTTTAAGGTGGTATTACAGCAGTTAGGTGGCTTTGAAGTTTTGATTGTTCATTGGATGAGATCCGCCAATTTATGGACAGGGTACATTATACTTAATTTGACTATACTAAAAGTTCGTTCGATTCGAAGTTTTCCAATGGAAACAAATATACGATGCCACAGTATATATAAGAAATCAAAGGATATAGAATTTAAACGACAAATCAACTCACAGTTCCTCCATTTCGACCACGTCGTCACATGGTGCACGCTCCTTCCCGGATTGAGCCGCAATGTCAACATCCTGACCACCAAGTAGGCTCAGAAACGGTACGTCGTCATCATGATCCTCACCATCACTACCGCTATCTTGTGTGGATAGGTCGACATCATCTATAACGATAAATAATTGATAATTAAGTGTAAAAAAGTAATATATACTTACAATTGTCAGACATGAATTCAATAATTGCCTCTCGAATGGATCGCTTGAATGGGCCAAACACACATATATCCAAAGGTTGGATGAGATGTGTTGCATTTGCAGGCAGCAGCATCAATATAATATTTAAGGTTTCAGCACGTAAAACAATTTTCTCAGAAATATGAGCTGCATATCCATCCATAACTAAAAGAACTGGACGAATAACACTTTCATCCAAATTTAATTAAAACATCTCCAACCAATTGTAGAAAATCAATTAAGTCATATAACCCTTGTTTGACGTAGTAATACAACTTCCATGAATAATTTCACAGTCAACAAGGCTAGAGGATACAGTATCGCCGGGAAAAATAAATAATGGAGGACAAATCGAACCAACAGCATGACCACATGCAACAAGAGTCAAATGAAAGTTTGCAGACACTTGCTTGGCCCACACTGACTTGGATCCACGGAGGGCAACCACTTTGCCTGACTTTGATCGGGTATCGAAGGCAGTTTCGTCCATGTTGTAAATTCGGCTAGCGTCGAGAGTAAGCTCATCACAGACGCACTGAAGGTTCGTGAAGAATTCTTCGATGTTCGTGCTGGTCACGGCATTGCGCGAGCGGTTGATTGTTTGTGCCATGCGGGTCGTGAGAAGTGGTTGTCGCTTTTGAAAGCTCTTGTACCAGTGCCGGCTGACTGCTGGGCGCTTCAACTTCTTGGCCAACTGGTTCACCTTGTTGACAATGTACGCTTGAGTTGGTGGGCGTCCTTTCGTTTGCATTTTTTCAATCCAAATGAACAGGTCCTTTTCGACCTCGGGAGGCACACGAGGCTTAGGCCCAGGACGCTGCGGAGGTTCGTCGTTCCGGCGCTGATCAAGGTGGCGCAGCAAGGACGTGCGCGGTACATGGTGCAATTTCGCGGCGGCAGAAATTCTGGAGCCATTGTCACAGGCTTCGATCGCGGCTTCCATAGCGGCCTGATCGTATTGCTTGCGTTTTGAGCTCATGATGTCAAATGCAAAAGTGTTGAGTGATCTTATGAGCTTCAGATTTTCGTGCCATGGGGCTCGCGCCTCCGCTACTGTTCGGATAATTCATTCTCTTTGAATTTATTTCTGTGTGCGATATTGGGTTACAAAAGTATTTCAGTATTAGAGTAAGTTGAACTTGATTTTGATTGGCTCGTGTACCCTGTCCATAAATTGGCGCATGTCCATAAATTGACTCGTTACGTTACTGCAATGATGTTGTTGTTGTCATGATTCACTTATGTAGTTGCGCCAACAGTGTCCCATCAACACAATAGATTCGAAACCCATTAGCACTACAGTACAACATTGGCAAAGTGGCAACCTTCATCACACATTGCACGGTCTCGAACGAGTTCCGTTGTCATAGCCGGAAGACCTACCAAGTAACATGAGACTCACGTTGTTTGGAAGTAACTGTGATTATAGAAGTCCCTACGGCCCAACAAGGATCAAGTCCATCACACGTCACAGTAACAAAGGGATCTACAGGAGCAGATGAAGACCATCTTACTGCATCAAGAACTAATAGCTGTCATAGGTGTGTAAACATGATGCTACATAGCGTTTTATTGTTTCGATGTATTACTTTGACTTCACTGCATAACGCGCGATTCCTCCATCATAATGTTGTTCGCTGCCATTCAACATGATAAATGATCATCATTTATTAGGTACTTTATACAAGTACTGTTAATGATTACTTTCTATAACTGTCGACTTCAGCACATTGGTAGAGCGTCAGGCTATCAATCCAAAGGTCTCGAGTTCAATACTACCTACTTTTATCATAATCAGCACAATTTTCCATTTGTTTACACTGTTAACCATGACTCAAATTAGCACGCAGCATAAACGTTGATCTTGGCAGCTTACTCGGGTTTGGACGTGTTCCATTGGGTTTACGACGATGGGACGGCGGGGGGGTGGGGCATAGCGTGTGAGTGCGGGGTCCACCCTGTTGGTGGTGATGGAACAACAAGAAGTGCAAGAATGGCAGGTGAGCATACGGGATCTTTGGCGGTTGGTGATGGTAGAGCAGACTGAAGTGTTGGACATGCATGTAGACGAGTAGCGCCCTCGGGGTACTTGTGGGGCATGGCACGTGTCCTTGGCCTTTGGGTGATGATTAGACAGGTAGATCGTTGGACATGACATGTAGGCGTGAGGATTGTTGGGCTTTGGTGGTAGGTAGTGTTGGGGCAGGCGAAGATGTTAGGTGTGGCCTGGGGAGGGGACGTGACACGTGTGTTTAGCGGTAGCTCGTGATGGGACTGGCAGAATAATGAGTCAACTGTAGCGCACGTGTCATACCCCATATATCTGGCAAGCCCATCATCACCAAATACCAAGGACCCTCCACGACCACATACCATGCCCGTTCTGCAATTCATTTCCGTCACCACCATACATACAGTATGCATATACAATTTGGTTTAAAGTATAAGAGAAGCTCTATATCAAAGATTATTCAACGTTAACACAATACAATAACATGATTCCACAGCTCCGCAAGCCAGAAGTTCAACGCATTGCAAGTGGTGGACCGACAGTACGACGACGACGCACGTTCCTCCCTGCACCTTGAACCCCTTGACGTCGCCGACGGCCAGTGAAACGGGATGTAGCTTCACTGGATTGAGTAACGTTGCGAGCAAATGTTGTTGGAGGAAGTGGCATACCTTGGACATCTTTGTTTTGATATTGCAGTGCATACAGCAAGTGGCAGCAGTACTTGTTCTTGTAGAAATAGTTGCACTCACACGATAATTCACTTGGGGCTGTCGACACATGCCATCCATACCACTGCTGCATGTGGACTCCACACAACGATTCATGGCGCAGATTGTTGGCTCGTTCGTTGTAGTAATAGGCATTCGCGAGGGCCAATGCTTGCCGTGGTATAGGTGTAATACCACGGCGGTGTAGATCATGGAACAAAGTATTGACTTCAGCTTCATCTTCGAACGCGTGCGCGATTGAGATGGCAAGTTCAGGGATGACGCCGCGGATTCGCACCTCGTGGGACCGCAGTACGATGCCCGGATGGGGAGGTACGACCTCAAGGAGACCGTTCTTCACCAAACGTCGGAATCGTTGTTGCAGTTTCTTGCTGGGCAGAGGCCGCAATGCAAAGGGCTGTGCTTTGAACGAGGAATATTCGACGGCAATGGAACCCAGCAACTGAAAGGTGACGCACAACCCATGATATGTACGTTGCGTGTAGATTCCTACCAATTATGGTCGATAATGACGCCAGGGTGGTCTCATAACATACCTTTGAAATGCTTGTTGAAGAGCTCACATGGGTTGTTCGTTGGGGAATCCGTCTGGAGTATGGTACACCTGCCAATTACAGTATTCCCCGTTCACCCACTGCCCTTCAAAGTAGCGAACGAAACCTTTGCCTTCGAGGGCATCACAAGCTGTCCACGCCACCTTAGCCTCGTTCCAGTGCAGATGACACTCGCCAACACTTCTGCTGAAGTGCACTTTAAACAAGTAGCGGGCGACGAGGGCCTTTACACTTGTCGGAACCACGCCAAGCCGCTTGTTGACGCACGCCACACAGTGGTAAAAGCACATAAGGATCGCTTTGAGGATCGCTTTGATTCCAAGTTGTGGCTGCAGGGTCTTCAGCGCTCCAACAGGGGCCAAGGCGGCGTCCGCCATGACATAGTGCAGTTGAAGACAACTTCCTACGACGGTTTCGTACACGGCATGAGTTGCTTCATCGCCCACTCATACTCATCAGCGGATTCTCGGCCAATCAAGAAGAAGGCGACGGGGTGAAATTTGCCACTAGGGTCAGTGATGCCGCAGATGAGAACTGGGTAGGCCAAAGCATTGATCTTGTAGGTTGCGTCCCAATGAAACACAAACGAGGACGGGTCGCGATGCATACAACGTAGCAGTGCCTTCGTTGTGATACCAACCTTAAACACACCAGACGCGCCGCCATATCCAATTTGAGGGACTCCATGCACCAAGTCGAACCCGAAGGAGAAAAACGTCGTCTCGTCACACCGGGGATCGAACCAGCTTGTTGCAAGCATGCGGGCCATTTCGACAGGCTTGCTGTGCTCGTGTAGATTACGCATGCGATAGTACCGGGCACGGTTTTGAAACCACTTCAGGTTCGGCATGGCGCTTGCGGGAACTGAATCCTTTAGCCTATGTCGTACTCGGCTTGGGGTGATGCCTTCGGCGAATAGCCTGTCAGCCTGGCTTCGGATAGCCAAGGTCGCCGAGGAGGTGGAAGGGGCACTGCAGTCCCCATACTGACCACGTTTGAACGCCAAGGTACGACCGTTGACCGAGCAGCACAGAAGCTTCAAATGCTTCAAGCAATGTTCCCGACAAAAACAAGTCAGGTACCGCGCACACATTTCGTGCACGCCAGGGCCTTGGCACACGGTGCATCGTGATTTCCTCGTGGAGTGCGTCGTTGATGGCGCTACGCAATCTCTGGCACTATTGTACGTGTCGAACTCGCCAACCAAAATCCATTCGTGCTGTCTTGCCTGTGACGACATCTGGGGTCCGGTGATAAAGTCAGCAACAAGGATGACATCGTCGCCCATTTCGTCCCCATCATGGTCTATTTCGTCCCCAGTGTTGTCATTCGCAGTATCCACGACGTTAGAACCCTCGGAAGTGAAGTCTGGCGTGTCGTACGCCCCATCGCCCCATGTACCGGTCACATCAAACTCCCACATACCATCCACCGTGTAGTCCACAAGGCTAGCCAACGCGTCCGACGGGGATGATGTGACATGACGTGACGATCCCGTCAAGTTCCCATGCCCCCCCCCCTGCGTTGTCCCCAACGTTGCCACGAGGTTGTCGAACGCATACGATGGGAACAGTTGTTGCTTCGCCAGCGTCGACCTCCATGTTGTCGGGAAGATGGGTGGGTATAGCGTACCATGTGTACGATGATGTACCCGTCACATCACATTCGAGCGAGCCACCCTCTGCGTTCTCCACAAGGTCGGCCAACAGGTGCAATAGGGGTGACAGAGGAGCAGCAGCTTCGCCAGTGTAAGGCCGCAAGATGTGGCGAAGGTGGGCGGGTATCGCATGTGATAGGCTCGGCGTGCGGAGCACATCAACTTCACGTGGAGCCTCCCATACGTTCTCCACAAGATCGGCCAACGGGTGCAATGGGGGTGACAGAGGAGCAGCTGCTTCGCCAGTGTCAGGCCACAAGATGTGGCGAAGGAGGGTGGGTATCGCTTGCGATGGGTTCGGCGTGCGGATCACATCAACTTCGCATGGACTACCCCCTGCGTTCGCCATAAAGTAATCCAATAGGGGGTCGATGGGGGTGTCGCTTCAACTTCGGCGTCGTCATGCCACAAAATGTGGCGAAGATGGACGGGAATTGGTGGTACCATATGGACAGATTTTCTGACAGTCAATCGGCTCAAATTCGAAATGACAGCACGTGGATGACCTGTTTGGCTGGATGTGGTTGTAAAAAAATTAATGAATATAAGATAACTTGAACGTATTAGCATCTGTGGACGATTAATAATATTCTAGCACTTCATTTCTACAGCAAAAGACGGAGATAAGGAACGGTGACAGGCAGTACATGACAAGAACAATACAACACAAAGTCGATTCATCTTTAATTAAAGTCGGTAACCGCGACCATATGCAGCAAATAGCTCCTTGCCGGCTTTGACAGACTTCAATATTTTGATACAAATCGCGTTTCCACTTCTCATGAGCTGGCAATTCTTCAAACACCCCGACCTCCCGCGAGTTTCACGATTGACAAAGGACCCAAGTCCACGGCCAGCAACTGGGTCTTTGAGACCCATGAGCCACGATTTCGTTGTCACAACGCCACGCTGACACACGTACTCATGATCCGTTGGCTCTTCGTACACCTTTTCTCCGTCATAGACTGTGCAAATGTCACCAGCAGACAAATCCACGTTGGCAAACAATCCTCGACCAGCACTAGGAACCGTCGAATCATCGATCTTCACGATTGAATTCGCTGCTTGGTAAGCCCCACGGACGCGTGCGACGGCAAATGTAAATAGTGCACGCTGTTTTAGACGGAAAGTCTTGCCAGCCATCGGATGCAACGCTTCGCGCGCTGCCTTTTGCTGCTGCTTGCGTTGCCGTGCCTTGGCCTTTTTCTCGTCGATTGACTTCTTTTTGAATAGGGTCACTTTCAAGCCATGCTTGGTTTTGCAGTGGGCTCGGAAGGTGCGCTCATTGACGTAATGCACGATGCACCTTGGACAGTAGAACAAGCCGTCTGACTTACGGAGCACTACTTCTTCCGACATTGTAAATCCGCAATTGGTTATTTAAATAAACGAGTTGCATTTCTGCGAGGGTAGCATTTCCGGTAAAATATCTTGAGTTTGATTGGTTGAAAATGTGAAATACTACTAATTAGTATTTGCAAGGTCGAGTTGCATTTCTGCCAGGGCCGCTTTTCCGGTAAAAGGTATCTTGCATATGATGTTAAAAATGTGATAATAGGAAAAGCACGTGATTGGATTAAAGCGCACAGTAGTATCTGTGATACCGGTATATAGCGCAAGGTTGCACTGCTGTCAGCTTATCAGAAGACGAAACAACGTCACGGCGGCTACGATACAAACCACCTGGGAGATCGACACGATCACCGGAGTTGGGCGCAACGACACACTTCTCGATGGTAATCGATGACGTAACATGAGGACAGTCGGAATGACTATCGGAGTTGTGCGTAACTTGAGTACGACGTGGACTACTAGACTGTGATGTCGGTGAAACGCCTCGGCGGCTACGGCCTCGATAGCCTTCATCACGCCAAGTGCGATTGCGGTCATCTCCGCCACGGTTGCGGCTACGACTGCGAGGAGGATCGCGCTTCGACGGGGCGCCACGACCACGTCCACGAGGGGCGCCTGCACTTCCGCCACCGCGGTCATCGCCGTTGTCACGGTCGTAGTCGTCACGACGAGGATGATCATCGCGGATTTTGCGAGACGACAAACGTCGTGCGGACTTCTTGCCGTGTTTTTCGAACACTTCTTGCGGAAAACCGTCGCGTTTGGTATCACGCGAATAATCTGAGGCCAGAACTTTGCAATTGGTCAGGACATGAGTGGGATCACCACAATAAAAGCACGCAGGGCCAGAGTGGGAATGACATTTGGGGTGAGCATACGAGGGTAGCATCCGTGTCGAAACTAGACCAACGGGACTGGCAATAGCGTCAACGACGGCGGCATTGATCAGATGCGATCGGGTGGGAGCGGAGTCAGCTGTCCCATGCTCACCAAGAGCAAGCGAACGCAGGTGACGCGTTGCCAGGGCATCCTTGATGGCGGCGTCGATAGCCGCGACAGAGCATGGTTGTCCGGAGGCCTTGGCATTGCTCGAAATAGCTCGGATAAGATCCCAAATTTGTTTGTCGTCCAAAAAAACTTCCGACAGTTTCACCATATAATGGTTAGCCCATAGGAAGGCGTCATACTCCGCCGCAGTGATCTCCAACGAGGATGGGATCATGGCAGTGCGGTACTGGCTGGCGATGGACTTAACGTCGGCCAGTAAGGTGTCCAAGCAGTCGCCGTCGTGATACTTGACCTTCTGCGACTGTGCATTAAGTACCGCAGGATCGCTAGTCAGAGGATTATTTTCAAATCGTGACACAATAGACTCATAAAGAGTAAATGGGCAAGCGATGTTGGAGAATAACTTCCGCAGGGAGTCCACCATGGAGGAGTTAAGGAACGTCAGCGCCAGTGCGCGCAGTCTAGAGAGAGACTTTGCCGTCTCGGACTTCAACGTCGCGCTCTTCACTGATTGGACGTGGTCAGCGATAACCTTGTGCCGCGCTGCAAGGCCATCCTCAGACAGGTCGGGATCAACATGGTACAACTCAGGGTGCTTCAACTTGTCGACTTGAACGTCGTCGTCGAGAATGCTCAAAATAAACCGCTCAAGATCAGAAGGCACATAAGCCTTGTTCATATAGAACTGAGTAAATTCATGGCCATCAGCCTGGCTGATAAACAGTGGTTTCCATTCGAGGGACGTACGATTGTGGTCGTCCAGGGGAGGCCCATTGTAGAGCGGCGCAGAGGTTGAGTGAGGGCTCATAACCTGTTAGGAGGAGCAAAGTAGGCCCAAGCACTTAGAGGAAGGTGGGACAAGGAGTCCGAGGGTAACACCGAGTTGAGCGAGGTGTCCAGGAGGACAAGACGCACGACAGGAAGAAACGAAGAGTGGATTAGGATGAGTGGTGTAGGGGTACTCCCACACCCTACTGACTAGCTACGAGGTGGTCCCTGATTGGTCAGATACCGAAGCGCACATATGAGGACACATCCTCTGAAGTGCGGGTGACAACACCCTGCAAAGTGTGCCCACTTGACAAATGCAAAACGACACGCATTCAGTGGGTTCGTCCGTTATTCACAATGTCAGACCTCATTTCGCGTTTTTAAGCTATTGAGTCCGTTCTTCACAGGTTGCCCTGTAATACTGTCTTACAGTTAGTACGCGGTACAGTATCGCGGAAGGGTAGTATAGATATGTACTACTGGAAGTTAGCTTTGTACCACGTAGTATTATGTATCCGTATTAGATTTACATCCTTCCTACTCTTCCTTCAACAGCAACACAGGATGGACTCCCTTGATCAGTCTTGTGTGGCCTCTTGTAATTCCAAGCTATTGAGACAGCAAATTAGTATTTCTGGAGAATATACGCAACATACTAGGCCATTCCTATAACGTTAACCTTATGATTTGCTACAGCGAACCGGGGAGAAACTGGACCCCCCCAAGAAACTCGACCACCTCTAAAATGTGATGTATTTATATTTAAAATACACTGATCGTTAAACTGAATAAATACACACGTCAGCCAATCAGATTTCTTTGACTAAGGTGGCCGTGATTGGACAGTTCAAAAACAACCACTCACACCATTTCAAAAACATCACTTTCAACCTTCCTTCAAACCTTCCTTGCTGCCGATCTCATGCCAATCCGGCACCAGCAATCGTACACCCTGGCAAGAAAACGAGCGCTGCTTGCGCAATTCGACGGGCTAGGTGTCAGCAGCTGTAAGTTTTGTATGGAGAATGACATTCCACGGACAACATGGACCACCTGGATGACACTCCGTACGAAGCTTACGGCTGCTACACGCAACGCGAAGCGGCCGACGCTCGGCGGACAAGGCGCCAAGGGCATCATCCCTTTCAAGCACGACTTGCTCACGTTCATGAAGGATGTGCGTCGCGATGAGCACATCCTTACCTCGATGCACATGATCAATTTCATGAAAGTCTACCACAAGGCATGGCTGGATACCTATGTCGTCGGTAAAGTGGACCCTTACAAGTCTCTCCTGCGCTTGTGCCAGTCGTTTGCCGCACGCCACCGCTTCTCGCAACGCGTACTATGCTACACAAAGCTCCCAGAACTCGACATGGTACTCATCCGGAATGACTTTGCGGCAGCGTTTTGGAACAAGTACAACGACCATAACCTCCACGACATTATCAACGCGGATGAGACGGCGGTTTACTACGATATGCCGCCCGGCAAGATTTGGGCAGAAGTCGGCAAGTCATCCAAGGTCGATGTGACGCAGAAACATTCCGACCGACTCACTGTTATGTTGTCCTGCCGCGCCGACGGTACATTACACTTGTGATATTTTTTGATAATTTTGGTGTAGGGTCGAAGTTACCTATCCTTTTCATCGTGCTTGGAACTCCTGGTGGCCCGAGCTTGCGACGTATCCCAGCGGACACTACTACGAAGTCCAAAAGTCAGGGTGGATGGATGGTCGTGTGTGGCGGACGTATCTTGACATGCTGCAGTATGAGATACATGGACCCACCGTCATCTTGGTGGACAATTTTGACGCTCTACGTGACCCAAGAGTCGTCGGAGTCTATTGCTCGTGACTTGTTTAGTGTGCTGGAGCCCCTTCCTCCCAACTGCACCAGCGTGTGTCAACCGTTAGACGTTGGCGTGATGGTCCATTCAAGAAACTGCTTCGTACCTTGTGGCTCGAAGAAACCCCCGTGGTCACTGCAGGTGAAAAGCGCTTGGCCATGATCAAGCGATCGATCAATGCCTGTGATAGGATTTCTGCCGATGCGATCAAGAAGTCCTTTGTAAAAGCTATTCCTCGACCGGAAATAGTTTTAGTATAATTACTACTTACGGTTAGTATGTGTAGTAATTGATGTGTGATGGACTTCGTTGTTTGTCTTGTGCTCGGTAGGAGGGTTCTCGGGGTAAACCCCCCTACATATGCGACAAGTTTCCCCTGTAACGTTACATGAATTTTAGCCAATCAGATATTGCTTGATTTTTGCTCATATTTTATTTTGGTCCATACCTACAACAGGAATTGTAAACCACACCATGTCCAGTTTCTCCCCGGTTCACTGTACCCTTCTTGTTTGTGATTACACGGCTGTCTACCAAGAAATGGTTTACCCTATGACGTTGAACAAAAATCGATCCACCTTCACCGGAATTGGTGGAGGCACAATAAACAATTCATTTTCAATTTCACGGCTGCCATGGCAAGCCACGGCAACAACGAAGCGGCGGACTTGGAGAAACGCGTGTCGTACATCCACTCAAACACGGCACAAGACGATGATGGGTACGTCGAAGCGAAATCGCCCAAGGACCTGGAAGATGGGGCGCTGATGAAGGGGGTGCGCTGGACTTGTTCTCCCGCGAATCGTTTGCCCTGTTCATACAGTACGGCGCCATCGGGATCATATACAACATAATCCCCGCGCTCAATTATCCCATCTTCAACATCTACCTCAACTTGGAGGGTTACCAACTGTCGTCGTACAAGGTGTTGACTGTGATCGGGTGGTCGTTCAAGGTCATATTTGGCCTGTTGTCGGATTGCGTCCCCATCTATGGCTATCGTCGCAAGTCGTGGATTTTGATCGGGTGGACCGTCACAATGATCTGTCTGAGTGTGATGGCATTTTCGCCGTTCGGCGAGCCGTTTTGCAACCGCGAAAAGACCAAGTATTGTGGTACGCCGTTAGAAAAGGTGCCTAAGCCCAAGCTGCAGTACTTCAACTTCTCCGCCCCCGATAACGGCACGCTGTTCATCCTTCTGTCCATGTTTATCGCGTTTGGGTACGTCTTGGCTGCGAGTGCGTCGGACGCGATGGTGGTCGAGTATGCCCAGCGAGAACCCGTTGCCATCCGCATCCAGACCGCCATCTACACCGTGCGCTCGGTCGCAGGCAGCCTCGCTTACTTGGTGAGTGCGTTCGGGCTGAACGGCCCCAACTACGGAGGGTCGTTTTCGTTTGCGTTGTCGCCGAATGCTCCGTACGGCATTGCCTTGGGCCGTGTGTTCTGGTGGTGCTCTCGACGATATTTGTTCTCGTGGAGAAGAAGTCTGAGCCTGTGTCCTTCCCCCTATGGTGGGGCAAGTTTTGGGAATCTCTCAAGAGTCGCGTGTTGTGGCAAGTTTGTTTGTTCCGATTCCTCAGCAACGTGTTCAATGGCGTCAACACCACTGCGACGTTACCCATTCAGACGTACTGGGCGGGGGTCAAACCTCTCAACGATGCGCTGTCGGACATCATTGGCATATTTGCTGTTAGCTACTGTTTTGGTGATTGTGGGCAAATGGGGGCTTCACTGGAATTGGCGCTGGACCATCGCCGCCGGTACCCTCGGAATGGTCGTCGTCGACGGCTTTGTCGTGTTCTTGACCATCTGGAACGTCGTGCGCAACCAGTGGTTCTTCAATGGAGTTCCCTATGGCCTCCGCTTTATCGTTTCCACGTACGTGGCTGTGGAAATCGCCGACAAGGGGAACGAAGGTTCCACGTACAGCCTGATCTCCACTGTGAGCAACCTCTCGGGGCCTTTTGCCAGCATCTTTTACAAGTACGTCAACTCGTACTTCAAAGTAAGTCAGAATGACGTCAAGACCGACACGCTCGAAGTGCGGTGGGACGTCACGTACGTGTACTTTATTTCGTACGGGTTCAAGATCGCGTCGTTGTTTTGGCTGTTCTTGCTGCCTCCCCAAAAGGCAGAAGTGAAGGCCCTGAAGGCGCGTGGTGGCAAGAGAAAAGTGGCGGGGTTCATTCTCGTGTCCGTGTTTTTCTTCTGCGTGTCGTTCACCGTGTCCAGCAACATCATGTCCATTTTCCCCTCCACCAAGTGCTACCGTGTCGCAGGGGGCAACGGAGTGTTGTACCCCAACACGGGCAAGTGCCCCCAGAAGTAGAAAAAGATGTCTTGCATTTTGAAGTAACGTATAATGAACATTGCATATTTCGTGTTGTCCTGGCGGTTCCAATATTGATCCATACATGAGGCGATTGACATCTAAGGTTTGCGTTACGGTTTCACGTGGCCATGTACTGGGCGGATGTCGAACCCCTCAACAACTCAATGGCTAGCATCTTGGGCAACTTGTCCATACCCGATCTACAAGATGCTAGACAATGAGTTGTTACTCTGGAATTCTGCTCATGGTGCCGTTATTGGATCTGTAGTGAAATGAGCGGTGAACAATCGCTGCGGGCACCACCGACGTGATCCTCGTCGACGGGCTTGTCATCTTTCGAAGTCAAGTATTGCTTGCAGGGACGTCGTTCGCAACCAGTGGTACTATAAAGTCATGGCGCTGGCCGACAACGTCCCCACTGGCCACGTATGTGACGGTGGAAGTGGCGGCACAGCGTACGGCCTGATCATGACACCAACAACCTCGCAAGCCCGTTTGACGGTATTGTCTACAAGTACGTCGCCTGGTTCTTCAAGGTGTACCAGAACGACCCCACGAGCGACAGAAACCACCGACGCGCGGGGATGACGTCACGTAAGTGTACATTTCGTGTACGCGTGCAAGTTGGCGTCGTTGGAGTTGGTTGTTTTTGCTGCGTCCCCAAAGGCAAACCCCATCTTCAGCTGCCGGCACAAGCCATGGATGTTGATCGGATGGCCCATCACGATGATCTTCTGAATATCATGACGTTTAGTCGTTGGTGAGCTGTTTTTCAACCGCGAAAAGCCCAAGTATTGTGGCAGGCCGCTAGAAATGGTCCTGACGGCCAACCTCCAGCACTTCAACCTGGACGCCCACCACAACCAAAGCACGCTGTTCTTCGTGCTATCCATGTTTGCTTCGTTCGGGTACGTCATCGCCGCCTGTGGGTCTGTTACACCCTGTGAGAATGCAGTCACCATTACGCGAGGATGCCAGCGAGCGAGCGCACGACGTAGATGGGCGGTCTGGATCCTGGATGCGGCCGCGCATTGCAACAGGCTCTCGCTGGGCGTCTCGACCACCATCGCGTCCAACGCACTCGCAGCCAAGATGTACCCAAACGCGATAAA